CCACATTGTAATGCACACAACTACTGTCCATCCCATGCTGTAATCCATCTGAATAAGAACCTTTCCCAATTCCACCACTGCAGTCAGCACTCATACGTACAGTCAGGGACGGATTATGGGTTGTGTGGGCCCCTGGGCAAAACGTTCGCGAGGGCCCCCCCCCACCAGCACCACCACCACAACCACCACAATTCAAGGGCCCTTGGCAGCCAAACGCCCTCCCTCCATGTTTCCATCAGAGGCCCTATAGGGTCAGGGGCCCTTGTAGGCAGAGGATCAAAGAATGTAGGCCCTCTAAAATAGACAAACGAAAATACATTGTTGATAAGCGTTGCAAATTGTTTTGGGCTAGGGGCCCCACGGGCCCCCTGCACCCCAAGGGCCCCTGGGCAGCGGCCCCGCTGGCCCGGTCCATAATCCGTCCCTGCGTACAGTTGCACTTTAACTTGTTACACTGTTATGTTGCACATCCTTTTTTTCTGCAGTTTGCCCTGTATATTCCATTTATGTCTTTATTTATCTTTTGTATATATAAAATAAAAGACCAATCTAAATAATCAACCACATTCTCTTGTCACTAAAAAGCACTTCGTTCTGAAGTTCTGTGTCAGTAAATTTTCTGACTGATATCAATCAATCAGGAGGTCTGTCTGTCACATACACAGTTGTACACATGTAACACTGGCTACTCCGAGTAGCTGGGCATAATAAGAGAATAAGAACATCGACAAAGAGAGTAAGATATAAAAGATAAAGATAACAATATAAAATACATAATCGATATATAAGTGACATGGTCACAGTGATTGTGCTGTTTGATATAAGCACAATGTGCAAGAGACCTGAGAAATGTACAGACAATTATAAACAGTATAAAATGAATGTAACGGTGCTCGTGGGACTATGGGCATGTGTACAGTGTGATGTCAGTGTTACAGTGACATCATATATTTCAGGACAATTGGCTATAATGGGTCATAATTTTTAGGGTGCATTTCATGCATGACTTCTGGTTAGGAAAGTGAGCAGAACCATGTGACAGCAGCTGGGCAGGAAGTTGTATCTTTATTTAGGGAAATTGGGGTCCTTTCAGGGGGGGGGGGGTGTGATAGCAATGGGACTGACAACACACCCAGGAAATGCAAAAAGAATCTGCACTTTGAGCAGGAACTGAAATGGAAACCAGTTGGACAGGGTGGGGACAGGAAATGCTACGGCGTGTCCGGCTTCGCTGGGTGGACCAGTGGGCCCTGTGGGTTGTGGTTCCCTGCAGGCTACTAGGGCTGGGAACTGATCAACAACCAGAACATTTATATACATCTCAGCACATCCATTCTGATCACCTGATTCTTCCTGCTGCCAGTGCAGTTCCATTTGGGTATTTTCAAAAGGAACAACTACTCAAATGCAGTTAATATACCTAAATGTTTGAAAAAGGGTCTTTTTATTTGGTGCTGCATGTATATAAAGATGATTTTAAGTCAGTTAACAGCTGTTCTGTCTTTTTTGGGAGAATGTGCATGCATCTGTGGCCTTCTAAGATAAGATATACGTTATTGATCCCAGGGAAGAATTCTTGTGGATTCAGCAATGAGGTACATAAAGTGCACTGATACTAACATATAATACCAAACAAAGTGCGAAGACAGTAGACATAGTGCAAAGAAGTATTCACAATACAAAAGAAATTAAAAATACACCGTGCACAAACAGAAAATTGTACAAATGAAATACTGTGTAGGAAAAAATAAAAATGAATTAATGGATGGCTCATGTATGATTAGAAAACTGAACTCTGGACTTTTACTATATTAGTACCTTAGTATATCAGTAGTAGCTAGTAAAAAATTACTACATTCTGACCTTATATTCATGGTTAACCCCTAATTACAGTTCGTCTTTGAAAGCTTTTCATTACCACCTATGGAATGACTCAGAACGTGGTGCTGTCATCTTATGGCTTCTGGAACTTCCGTGGCCTCCCTCCCTGCGTGGGTCTCTTCCTGTAATGCAAAATAATGCAGCATATCGGTGCTTAAAATAAGTCCAAGACGTTATGTACTTTGACTTATTTATTATGTACTTTTGACTTATTTTCTCTACATGATGGTTTTTTGCAAACACATATTATTATTTTGGAAACTGTGTGTCAGTGATCCCTATGGCAGAAACTACAAGCTACAGTAAGAACACACACACAAAAAAAACAAATAACTTCACAGAAAACTATGAGTGCTTTCTAATCTAACCGCTCAGAGGAATGTCAGCTGTTGTCGTACTGGGAGGGAACCCAGAGGGAATAAATATTATCAACTGAAACTAATAAGAAATTAAAAAATGGACTAAAAATAAATAAATAGCCAAGGACCATCTACTGGGTGTGATAATAAAAGTAAGACCATGGCTGAATTCAGTTTGCACTGTTACATTGTGCGTTTGTGGTTTACACTCAAAAACCCACAGCAGCCATTAGTGAGAAAAACAGATCCTGTTTATAGATATCAGGTAAGACAACACACCATCTGTAAATATTTAAATATGATATGTCATCGATGTTCAACATAATCTCTTAATTAAAATATTAATAAAATATTAATTTTGATTCACTTTTTTGTGTAGCGGCTTTCATAACAGAGGCGCCCCAAGGTACTTGACGAGAATGTGCGGCAGCCCATTGTTACATCATTTATACAAAATGGTGCATGAAACAAGGAAAAAGGGAAGAGGGATAGAAAGAACAAAGGAGGAGAAGTACCAAAAACTCCCTAAGAGGGAGAAAAAAATCACTGGAGGTCTAAGGTTAACTGACCCCCCCCCCCCCTTTATGGGCCTACTAGCATTATACAATACAAAAAACGTCTGTCTGCTTTAACAAAAGCCGTGTGTAAACTGTGGTAAAAGCCAGAGTCTATCAGTGAGCTAGTTCTCCAAAAAGGTTTCTGGAAACCGACAGATCATAGCCCATCCCGACATCACAGATTGCAAGCTGTCATATTTTTGTAGGTGTGAACCAGCACTCATCACAGCATTCTGACTGTCTCAGAATTCAGCATTCTGACTGTCACAGTGTGTTATGTTTTAAGGTGTGTGTAAGCAAGACTAAAGTTATAGGTTTTCAGTTGGGATTTAAAAAGTGAGACTAATTCAACATTCCAAATATGACCTGACTGTCTGTTCCATAATATATGGGCTCTTTAGCAGAAGGCTTTACCACCCGCTGTTACTTTATTTATATGTGGGAAGACGAGGAGATTTGCATTCTGTGATCTGAGTGTAGAATGCGGCTTGTAAATATGCATCAGTTTTATTTGGTAGCCATATGCTCTACCTTGAGTGCCTTATACACTCACCTAAAGGATTATTAGGAACACCATACTAATACGGTGTTTGACCCCTTTTTGCCTTCAGAACTGCCTTAATTCTACGTGGCATTGATTCAACAAGGTGCTGAAAGCATTCTTTAGAAATGTTGGCCCATGTTGATAGGATANGGGGGCCCTCGCGAACGTTTTGCCCAGGGGCCCACACAACCCATAATCCGTCCCTGAACTGTAGGAAGCATTTTTGTGCAGTGGCTCACTGAGCGGCAGTGCTGTCTCATACCTTCATGGTTGGGCGGTTTGATTCTCATTTGCACTCAGTCTGTGGTGTTTGCACATTCTCCCCATGTCATTTGAATATCCTCATGCAGTCAGAGTAATTGCCACTCTAAATTGCCTGTGAGTGTGTGTGTGTGTGTGTGTGTGTGTGTGTGTGTATCCATACCACTCTAATACTATATAGGACTCATCAACAGCCCGAATTCTTCATGACTTGAACTCCACAGGGTGCTCTAAGCAGTCATTTAGAGATTGTGGTCCATGTTGACATGATTGTATTACCTAACTGATGTATATTTCTCGGTTGCACATTCATATTGCAAATCTGAAATTCCACTGCATCGCAGTGGTTATCCTGAGGACAGGGTTGAGAAACACTGATCTACTGGATTAAAATTTGGTTCACAGTACTCACTGTCATGCTCATGGAACCAGTTTGAGATGCCTTATGCTATGTGACATGGTAGATTATCCTGCTCGAAGGGGCTGTTCAATTGTGACCATATTGTGTCCATCAATAGTCAGGATGTGGCATTTATATGACGCTCATTGATGCTCATTGGGTATTAGGGGGCTCAATTCAACTGTGCATGTTGAGTGAGACTGTGACCTCAGCTATCTGTTTACAGCTGGCAGGACTCAGGATTGTGATCAGTGTAGACAGGATTTGGTTTTCTACTGTTGTAGCCTATCCACCTGAAGGATTGATATGGCTTTTGCTCACTACTGGTGTATATAGTGCTTATTTGAGTCACTGTCATATGACCTCTCTCATCAAAAAACTGTTTCCGCCCCCAGAACAGCAGCTCACTCGATGATTTTTTGTTTGTTTGTTTGTTTGTTTGATTTTCACACTAATCTATGTAAACTCTTAGGACTGCTTGTGTGAAAATTCCAGTTGCATCATTAGATATTTCTGAATAATATTGATAGCACCAAACAATGAAGAAACCCTTTGGAGCAGTATGTTAATGACCACTACATACACGTATCAACCAATCATCAATAATACTGTTTTCTTTGTAAATATTTAAAGCTTAGGAATAAACCTGTCTTGTTAGTGATTGTTCCTAGTACTTACATGCAACTCCCAGCATAGCACAAAGTAACACACCATTATATAATAATAATAATAATAATAATAATAATAATAATAATAATAATAATAATGGCAACCTCATTTTTCATATATGTGTTTATATTAACCTTCATCCTACTGACCACTGACTGTGTCCCTGGGGAATAATTTACTGTAAAAAACGATCATAATAGCAAAATAATAATACTAGTGAAACTTGTGTTTTCTCAAAGCATTATTATGGGCTCATTTGACTGTGGTCCCGCGGGACCCCAAAATATTTCTATTTTTAAAAAGCAGTAATCAAAGCAGAAATAGGAAATTATGATGTGACATCATTTGGAACAAATTGATTGACAAATTCATAAAAAAAAATGGAATGATAAAAATAGAGATATGACAAAAAAATGTACCGTGACATGGACTCCTGTCGGCGCGATGAGGGTTGACGATGACAACTTTACCACCTTCTCTTTCACTTCACTTTTACATGTTTTATACGCTCAACAGAACAGAACTACACATTTGGAAGAAATTACGTCATGGGAGGCAAAAAGAAAAGGTTATTTTGCAGAACAGGAAGTGATGAACTACTGCAGAAACTTTTGAAGACAGGAATCATAGTTTTCTTTTGTATTGAACACGCTGGCTGCAGTTGGTCGCTATTGCTCTACTCTATCAGGCATTACATATTTTGTAAATTCTTTGGGACAACCTTTTGTCATGTAAGTAGTAAATATTTGTCTATACAAAAGATATTTTATCTTTAGCAAAGGTAATAATGAGTTTTATCTTTTTGTGGTGATTTTGTGGTCTAAGAGGCTGGGCTACTTGTTTCACATGCTGGACTATATTCATAGATGTAATCGAACCAAAATACCTAAAAATGTAAAATAAAAGAGTAAAAGAATAAACTCATAGTATGAGTTGCTTATGTCAGGACTCCAATGTTTATATTTTTTCATTGAAAAAATATTTTGAAGATCACAGGGCCAAATAAATTTAAAAGATATTTACCAAAACACACTGATGTAATTCTTAACTTGCACAGTAATAAACAAACAAAAACAACAGACTCATAGATTGCATCATAAACTTCGCCAAATTAAAAACATACTGTTAATGTATTGCAAAACATATTTTAAATGTGTTCCCTTTGAATATGCATATGTATATACAGTAGGCATGTCCGTAACCTTAAATCTTTTTGCTGTATTTAGCTAATTTAATGGACTACATATTAGTGCCGCTGAAATTTTATTTATCTTGCGATGGTAGTATTATTTGGGTCTAAACCTTATGCTGTGGGTTTCAGCTTCTTGGTGAAAGGTTGCATGAAAGGAAATAAAGAGAAAAAAAGAGGTAGTTAAGACAGGAAAAAAAAGATTATGACTTTTATGTTATTCACACATCCCTTTCACACCTCTTTGACCACACCCTCGGTGATTAAGACTGATAAAACTGCCAAACTTTTGTCATTTATGCAACATAGGACAGATAAATTGAGTTTATTCATGCATAAATCTAAATCCATATGTAAACTTGGATAATGAGAAGATCTTATTCTTTTCTGCAGACTCGAGGTAGACTCAATGGCTGAGAGACAGGACATCAATGGAAGCACCAATGACTCATGCACCAATCTCTATGACCACCGGACCACGGCCCAGCTGCTCCTACCCTTATGCTACTCCATTGTCTTTTTTGTGGGCTTGTTTGGAAACACCTTGGCTCTGCATGTAATCCGCCCCAACTTAAAGAACCTGAACTCCACCACACTCTACTCTACCAACCTGGTAGTATCTGACATAATCTTTGCACTTGTTCTACCACTTCGCATTCTCTACTATGCTATGGGCTTCCATTGGCCTTTGGGAGAAGGTCTCTGCAGGGCCACCAGCTTGATCTTCTACATCAATACCTATGCTGGGGTCAACTTCATGGCCTGCCTGAGTGTGGACCGGCTTGTTGCCATGGTACTTCCACTGCGCTACAGTTTTTTGCGCAGCGTCCGGACCGTCCGAAACATCTGCATTGCAGTCTGGCTCCTAGTGCTGTTACAGACCTTGCCCCTGCTGTCCATGCCAATGACCAATCAAGAGTCTGATGGCTACATCACTTGCATGGAATACCCCAACTTCGAGAAGGTGGACAATCTGCCCAGCCTGCTCATTGCGGCAGTAATCCTGGGTTACGGCATTCCGGTGGTGATCATCATGACGTGTTACATCGTGTTGAGCTGGAAGTTACATGTAAGTGCTAGAAATAATCAGGTTATGGAGAAGTCACGCCGGCACAAGAAGGCCATCGGGATCATCTGTGGTGTGACTCTGGTATTTGTGGTGTGCTTCAGCCCGTATCACATTGACATCCTCCAGTACATGACCCGGAAGCTGCTTTACAAACCCGACTGTACAGAGCTTCAGTCCTTCCAGGTGTCCCTCCACGTCACTGTGTGCCTCATGAATCTCAACAGCTGCCTGGACCCTTTTATCTATTTTTTCGCCTGCAGTGGCTACAAGAAAAGGATTATGAGGATAATTAAGAGGCCGGTGAGTTTGTCTTTCACCAGTGCTACTAAATCTTCCCCAGACAGCTGCTCGAGGGACCCTGCTGAAAGTACTAAAATACAGCTGAACACCTTAAGAAGGAACCCTTAGGAATTGCCATGCGACACATTTGATGGGACTGAACCCACTGTTACAGCATCCATAGATTCTCTAGGCCAGTAAATATTCTGCATAAAATGTCCTGGATAAGCAGCAAACCTGTTGTGCTCCCTAAATGTGTCATGAAGAGAATGACCTGTATTAAAAAGGGCGAATATATATGTGTTCTGTCTGTGTTTACAATAACAATTGCACATAATACAACACATGTTCTTTTAAATAAATAATGCATGGAAATTTACAATGTGTCAGATGATCATTTAATTCATATTAATAATAAAATGATTATTTTAGCAAAAACTACAACCCTACAACCCTAAAATATGAATTTAATGCTTAATTCTATCTTCAAAGGCATGAGAGCAGTCTAGTTTATGGAAAAACTGCTTCCCTTTTGTTCATCAAGCAAATATTGTCAAGAGTTGTCATCCTTTAATAACTGTACATTTCCGGACGCCGGTGGCTGTACCTCCGATAACCCACTGACTGAATTATCTTCGGTTCGTTCAGAAGTAGACAAGGCAGGATTTGGACTAGTGGGCACTGAGAAAAAGTCAGAAATTTTTCGTTTGGCCATTTCGCGTGTTGCATGGAAACTTAGAACATTTCGCGTGTTACGTGGAAAGTTAGGCCGGAATTAGAGGAGTAGTCGTGGCCCGATTCTCTTCTATTTCGGATCCCTTATCGCAGCAGTTAGCGAGATGACATTTGAAGCAGAGTGGGCGTGTCAGATGGTGCCTCCCTTAGGTTTGGTTTTAATCACGTGATAGTGTTATAGGAAAGGTAGACGCGGGCTGAGAGTGTCCGCACAAAATTAAAAGCCGTTTCTGCTGCTTTAATTTTAAAACTTTTCTTAGATTGAGAGGGAGAGTCGCCACCGGCGACTAGAATGAAAAAACTAGTCGCAAAATAGAACATCAAGTCGCATTGGCGACCATTTTAGTCGCCATCTGGAGCCCTGTGCATGCTGTTTATGAATGTTCTATAAAGGCATAATGAATGAATGCATATTTATTTATTTATTTGCGTGTTTGCAGCCTGTCACACTGGCAGTTATACTGATTTCTGTGGTACAAAGTGGAAGCGAGTACTACTGCAAAGATTATGTTAAAGGTAACACTGTAAACAAACTATTCTGGCTCATCCTTCATTTACTTAGAACAGTGCTGGATTTCCTTCATGTAAATATATGCAACATATAAATTCATGTCTTTGAAATCAACCACAAGAAACCACATTGCTATAAGATAAGCCCATCCACCAGTTTGCATGGACATTTTCTGCATATGCATATACAAGTAAACATGCAATTTGATGAGTCTCCAGATGACTGTCAAATGAGATGTAACATGTACTGTTTTGAAACACAGGGAACATGTGATGTTTATCCATCATTAAGTGCACTCAGGTAATCTAGAGACACCAAATGTCATAAACTGCATTAAACTACATGTCCTATTTATTTGTTTGTTTGTTTACAAAAACAGAGGGGAATTATAAAAACTCCACACCAAGAGCTCTTTGTGACACCACTGTGCCACCACATCAGACAACAGGTTTATAAAATGATCAAAATGTGACCATGTAAGGAAACTCTTAACTCAGTGATAAATATGGTAAAGTAAAAAAATGATTACTGTTCACGTCGTTGTGATCAGATACTCCCCAATAAAAACTGAGTCATCAATAAGCCAAATCTGTGGGTTTATGTGTCACAGACGGCATTTCCAGTCTCCTGGAAGATGCCTCTCTGATGATTTCATTTGCAAATAAGACACACGTTCCATATGTCTGACTTCACCACAGAAAAACCAAGGCAATGTACTTTAAAAAGCCATTTGATTGTCTGGCCAGTGTGCTTCACTTGTTTAATGTTTCTATGTTTAATACTTCTAAGAATGTTAATAAATAAGTCTCCCCATGATGTGTTGGTCAGACATTCAATAGAATTACATTAATGAATGCACACTCTGCTATGAAACCAACATACTCTGGGCTTGAAGTGTATTCTAGGTACTTTCCACTCTCAGAGGAACTGTTTGGGAATCTCCCTGTTTGTGAAATTAACATCTGCATTGCAATGAATTCATCTCCACTCTGCTGTCATCCGTAGCTGCGTGAATCTCAATAGCTGAGATGTTCATCCTTCTTCAGTTATGTTTTTCATACCACCAAGTTGTGTTGTTCAGCAAATTTCACAAACTTCTCTCCTGTTCCATTCATATATACTGGAGTCACTGTATCTAACTGCTGGCAGCCAAAGATCCTCTAAGTTAAATTTTCATGAGCTAAACCCTCATTGAAAAAATAAAAAAGCATATTAAAGTAATTTACTTTGATGCAAACCCAGTGAAATTATTTAATCTAGATTTTATATCAAAATCACGACTTTTAAGCTGTTTGTTTCTTGCCATGGACTCCCTCACTCTGGTTACAAACTACCAGGAAGTAGGTGGGTGTCACTAATGCTATATGCACTAACTTCATATACCAACACCAGTTCCTCTATTTACGGGAATTAATAAGACAGTCGCCCTAAAAGATGTTGCTCTGAGTGCCAGGTCTCCCTGAATCTGTAATTAACACCAGTAAGGTAAGGACACTTTCTGAAGACTTTTGCTTTTTTTTGTTTTGCAAAGTAGTGATATTGTCATGGGTGTGAAATGGGATACGATGAGCAACTATAAGGTCATTCTTGATCAAAGTCATGCTTAGAAACAATGTCTGAAACAAGATGTCAAATCTTTAATTTAGTGCAAAACTGAAATTTTACAGCATCACACCCAACTGACAATACGTGACTAAATTCTTTCATATTTTACTCATCACAATGTATTTCTAAAAAAAAAAAAAAGAATAATATTATATTATGGTTAGGCTATTTCCATATTTTCAGCAGTCTTTCTCATTTCTTCTTTTAACTCAACTTCAGCTTTCTGTTGAGATTTAACCTTTAACTGACACAGGCCAGACACAGAGGTAGGTAATTTATAAAGGACCCTTACAGAAGATGAAGGTGGGAGTGTAACCAGATGCAACATGTTTCTGCAACTGGGATTTGAGACATTAAGGATGTAAAGGGAGCAGCTTTGAATGGAACTGCCTGCTTCATACTCTGTGTGCTGATTTAACTTTGATGGTTTTTGGAAAAAACAATGTAGTTGCAAGATGTTTGCAGAAATCTTTATAGTAGCATGTCAATATAAAACAAATTCAAAAATATATAGTAAAATATTCTGGAAAGCATATTTACTATATTTTGGAAATACAATAAGGCGTTTTTGTTTTCAGTGTGGGATATCTATTTATATAATATGAATATAATATTTTTCTTATATAACTACTAAACTATACAAATAGAATGTGTTTGTAAACATATGTCAATTTTATTGATATAATATGAGTAAATACTAAAAAGTAGTACATCGCTGGGTGGCTTATAAACCCCAGTAAACCCCACACTGCCCTGTGCCCAGAACCTGATGCTGGGTTTGTGTTCTACACAGATCCATCTCCAGGAAATCAAGAGAACATGCAGAATGATCAGAATGTCTCTTTCAAGAACATACCCTGGGCGTTGACACAGGAAGAACACAGCATTATTGGCCTGGTTTTCTACTGCTTCATCCTCTTCTTCGGCATTGTAATCAATGTCACTGCACTGTGGGTATTTTTTCTGTCCACCAAGAAGAAAACGTCTGTTACGATCTATATGATCAACTTAGCCATAGTAGACCTGGCATTCATTTGTCTTTTGCCATTGCGCTTGGTGTACTACATTCAGAAAAGGTGGCCCTTCGGAGACCTGCTGTGTCGGATCAGCACCGCCATTACCGTATTCTACCCAGCTATGGCGCTCTGGCTCTTTGCTCTTATCAGTGCCGACCGTTTTGTCGTATTGACTCAGTCTCGATACAGCAATGAGCTGAAGAACGTCAGCAAAGCCGTGTTGTCCAGCGTGGGTGTTTGGGTCATGGTCTTAGGGATCAGCCTACCGCTGCTCTTCATCAAGGAAGACCCGGATCAGGCCTCCAACTTCACCACCTGCAGCAAAATGTTTGACGTCGCACACCTGCACGTGGACAACGCCGTAAGCTTCGTCAGGCTCATCTTCTATTTCCTGGTGCCCATCTGCATCATAATCGGCTGCAACACCATCATTCTGAACAACCTCACATGTGGCCGAGCAGCGAAACTGAAGTCCAAGATGAAAAAGCAGTCTGTCCGCATCATCATCACGTTGCTGCTGCAGATAGTCATCTGCTTTGTCCCTTATCACGTGTGCTTCGTCATCCAGCTTGTGAGACCCCAAAAAGACGAGTATAGGACCTGGTCCTCCAGCATGGGATGCCTGATGAACCTCAGCACGATCCTCGACATCCTCCTCTTCTACATCGTGTCGAAAGAAGTTAAAGAACGGGTCAGGAGTGTCGTCCGGTACAGAAACTATCGCCGCAGCCGCCGCAGAAATAACCACCCTGCCTTAGTTGAGATTTGAACCAGCAAGAGTGGTAGGGAGCTGGGAGGAAGCAAAAATGTGGACTGTCTGGCAGGGAGCTGGGAGGAAGCAAAAATGTGGACTGTCTGGCAGGGAGCTGGGAGGAAGCAAAAATGTGGACTGTCTGGCAGGGAGCTCAGAGGGAGCGAAAACTGTGGGTTCACAAAGACTGGATTGAGAAACACTGCCATAGATTCCTCCTTCTATTGCTTGTATAGTTGAGAAACTTACTGCATTTGCAAATATATTTACAAATGAGCCTTTGATGTTAGACAAACATATACAAATAATATTATGTATTATGGTTCATATATTGTATATTTAATTAATTTATGGCATAATTTATGGCTATATGGTTTCCTCTCTCATGCATAACAGAGGTCCTTCAAAAAGAAAATAAATAGGTCTGAGACAACAGACATTGATTTCACTCAGGAAAGTGTAACGTAATGTTTGATCTATGAAGAAAACAAACTCAGAATCATTCCTCATTACTTTTGTGTTTCATGTTTTCTTGGGATTACAAATCTTGTTCAGTGCCACCAGTTTTGAGGACAGATATTTAAAAACTAAAACAGTCGCATATTCCCTTTAACTGAGGCAGTCTGCTAAATTAAAACGGCAGAGAGGAAATGATCTAGCCATCTTCCATCTTATGAGACTGCCAATGACCTAAAGTCAGGCTTCTTCATCACACGCTACAGTATTGGGAAGCAAAACTCACTCAGTCCTCCTGCAATCTAATATAGAACTCTCGGTAACACTTACAATACTTGAAGCTGTCATCTATAATGCATTATAGATACCATTATAGATAGTGCATTATAATGATCGGTATAAAAATTTATAAAGCATTACAGAATATTCTGTTGACAGTCATAAGGCATTTTAGTACTGATTATAATATTTCATAAGCTCAAATGAAGCTTTTAGATATCTTAATAATGCATTATAATGGTTGTTATAAGAATTAACGATGCTTTGTTTTTTTTACTGTATATCTATATGATATTTACAGTGCATTATAGAAGAGAGCTTCATGAAGCATTCATAATGCATAATAAACATGGCTATAATGTGTTATGCCTTTTTTTTTAAAAATATTTATAGCCAAGTAAGTTATAGCCACGTTTATAATGCTTTATGAATGCATTATAATGTGCAAAGAATGTGCTCATAGATTATTATAGACATGGCATTCATAGAAAGTGTTACCAAACTTTTAATCAAATTTCCGAAAATCACTAAGTTCACAGAAATTTTCTTGAAAAGGTATGTTGTGGACTTCTGGAAATGTTTCTGGAAATGTGCAGAAGCAGATCTGAGTACCCAGAGAAAATCTGCATGACAGACGTAGAACTGTATGTCTTAGGCGTGCAAGAGGAAAGCAAAATGCCTGAATGAAGTCTGTTAGCTTAGCCATTTCAAAAACTCTAATATCACCCCAATATTCGCAGCAACCGGCCAATAAATGTATTCTTTGAATGGACCACTAGCACACCTCGTATAGCTAATCAATGTCTCATTCACTTTTTAAACTAAATAAATTAATTAACTAAGTGTGCTGGTGGTGAAATTTAATACATACATGGAATGGCTGAGGTGCCCCGGAGGAGAGGTTTGGGATCTGAAGCCGTGTTCATCTAGCCATCCAACTAGATATCAGTAACTTTCAGGAGAGCAGAAGATATTCTTACTGGTTTTAATTGTATTACTCTTAATTTGCATATGTCTGATGCTAAATTTATTATTATTTTTTGTTCTGAGCAGAATTGCATATGCTACCCAGATAAATAGCTTTAAAGATTACTATTGACTGCCAAAGACTTTTGCACAGTACTGCATAATTTGGCCAAACATATTTCTGCATGGTTAGAGGTGTAAGTGGTTAGAAGATGAATGGAGGGATAGTTTCACATGAGAAGCATCGTGAGTCTTGCGTAGCGCTGTGGTGTCACACCTCTTGTAGGTTTCGTTCCCGCCCACAAGTCCCTCTGATACCCCAGTACCTTCTGACAGTTGAATGTCATGCAGTTTGAGTGAGTCTCCGTATTAAGTGTCTTCGTCTGTCCCCTCTAAGACACTGGCGTCCTGTTTAGGGTCCTGCTTACCTCCTGCCCTGTGCTTCCTGGCAAAGGTATTGCAACCCAGTCCCTTCTAAGAACTTTGCATGCTAGGTAAAGTACCAGTTGACCACATCCCCTGGTTAGCAGTGATGTCACCGATGGGCACTCGAGCCAGTTAACACCAGTTCCTCCAGGACTGACAGACTGTGCTTTCAATTGCAATCGCTTTGGATAGAAGTGTCTGGTAAAAACATTGACCGAAACGTCATCATGCAGCACGACTGAAAATGTAAACATGACTTTTTCTACATGCACCAGTTACTCCCATGTCCAGTAGGTGGCACCAAATCACCTCATATAAGCACTGAACTGGCCAAAAGCAGCACATTAGACTCTTACAGGCAAATTTAATGAACATCAAGGCTGCAAAATTTCCCTTTCTCTTCATAAATAGACTCAGACCACATCTATTCACTCTGAACCAAGTTATTGACTTCATTCATGAATCTGATTTCTTTACAATGGATTGGGTCCAGATTGGATTGGACCTTAGCTTTCGATGCTACGTCACTTAGCTAGTCGTACAACCTCAGCTCAAAGGCAGTTTGATCTAATGTAAACCATTATTATACTTTCATTTCACAGAACCATGTTCTTTGTACAATTGAGCATAAGACAAACTGTACTTATTATCCTTTTGCATTGTTATAATTGACTTGCAGCTCTACACGGGCGGGTGGTGGGGGGGGGCACCTATCAAATAAACACATGCAATTCTGTTTGTTTGTTCTGTTAAGCCCCTTGTTTTGTCCTCCTACTGAGAAAAGAGATCATCCAGGGGCGTGAAAGGCGCAAGGACAGAAATAATCACCGGGGAAAATGGAAGCAAAGAGCTCACGATAACATCCAAACAATAACGGTAATAAATAATGATATAACAGATGGTGGATGGAGGACCTGCTCCGGGAAATAAGCTGTACCGATGTGTCAGATTCTAAGTGACCTCAAGTGTTAGTCAAGGGAAATAAGTAATTACATTATGGCCAAAATTGTGGAAACACTTCCCGTCTTAACTGACTGCAGAACTTTATTCAACTGCTGCTCCAGTTACTTATTTAGTCATCCAATGTATGCTGTTTGTAAACATTCTTTGATTGTTTGTAAACATTCTTTGATTGTTTATAAACATTACTGCCAATATTCGTGTAGTAATTTTTAAAGCGTAATACCGAAAGTGCTAAGTGTTTCCACAATTTTGGCCGCTAGTGTAAATAAGCACTTATTCCTCGAGTACTTTTACCTGCATGCTAATACACTAGGATGATGCTTTTGCCACAGAATGGTTACAATGTGGAAACTTATCCATACTAACCTACATTAATTGCTTTCAGGAAAAGATGAGACTTAGATAGACCTTTGAGGTCAAAGGCTATAGCGATATTAAATGTCATCTTGCTGCTTTTAATAACAAAATGGTTTGAAAGTGATTCATTTTTAAATGCAATTACATATAGATTCACCAGTTGCTCTTCTGTTGGTGAGGGAAACACTGTTGACAAAAGTAGCTGTAAAACTTTCTTGTTCATTCATGTAAAGTGCAGGAAACAAGCGGCAGATCAGCTGCATTTTATTCACAATGATTTACAGGCTGGGAGAACAGGCGCCATTTTGTGGAAACAAAAAGGAATCAGCATTAAACAATGCAAAGTTAAAATACCGTTTTCTCCTTCTTGTTCTGGCAACAAAGCAGCTTTTGTATAGAGCAGTGTTTCTCAACCCAGTCCTCAGCGAACCCCAGCCAGTCCACGTTTTTGCAAAAACGTGGACTGGCTGGGGTTCGCTGAGGACTGGGTTGAGAAACACTGGTATAGAGTGACCATTTTAATGAATGTGAATACATGCTGTAATGGCTTAAACTGTTGAATGAGTGTTTTCTGACAGTGCAGGTGATGCCATCTTGATGAGCTGTATGTGGCATCGACAGATAATCACGCAACTCGGGGGACAGTCAGTCTCAGAAGAGGAGAGGGAGAAGCATCCAGTATCCAGCTGTAACCATATTCATTTCTGCATGTTTAAACTGAGGCCTTTTCTTCATCTCATCAAATATCTCTCATCAAATATTTAAAAATAATAATCTTTATATTTTTTAGAGTATGGTGTTTTACTTTTAAGTTATTTTGGGGGTGACGCTTTAGATGACAAAGTTCATTGTTTTCCTTTTTTTATGTTTTCATGTATATCTCTATAAGCGCAATATGAAAGTGCTACATTTTACAGTCATTACTGGGTATCCTGAGGTCTAAGCTGAATTTTTGGCAAAATAAATGAATAAGGCAGATAATTACTGCCTTTCGCCAAGTGAGTTTTGTTTCGTAGATGGCATTGTGCTTCTAATCCATGCTGTGAGCCTTAATTGCTTACTAAAGAGAATCAACAATTGTATCAACAATAATTACCATTCTATTAGCTGAGTGACTTTTTGATATTTGATAATGCATTATAAGGGAAAACGAGATGTCTGATTATTTACAAAGATAGAGAGATTCGTAGCCTATTGGACATGATATGGCAGAATTTACAGAAACAGAATAATTTTTTAACACAAATTACAGCCGTAAATATTTATGACATTACTAACGCTTTCCTTTTTTTTGCGCTAAAACAATGCTACTTATAATATGAAAAGCAGGTTTTGGCAAACAAACCAAAAACTGTCTATTAATTGCCTTATAACTAGAGGTAAATCATCAAAGCTGTCTAGCAACAATTGATCACTGAGCGAGGTAAAACACTCTGGTGACAAACTGATTTTAACTGATTGAACTATGGCCATTTCACACGGGCAGCTCTGAGGTACCATTAGCCAGCATGAATAATGCACTGCTGGTGTAGCCCCTGCCAAGCTAAGTGCTGGGAAACCTTAGATTCTCATGAGGATTGCGACAGATTTATCTCAAGTCGACATGTGACGGGCCAACGTCATTTTTCAGCGAACGCACACCGGGCTAAAAATTCTTGACCAAATCAGAAATGACTGAACAATCCATTGAACCAGCGCTTGGATTTTTCATCTATATCTGGTGAGCTGAGGTGCACGTTTAATATTTAATTTCACTTCTCTCATTTTAAAAATGACCTGCTCTATGACGTCTCGGAACAGAGAAGCCTGATGTACAACCACAATAGATGGATTGTTAGCAAAGATGTAAACA